GGGGAAGAAGAGCGGCCAGGGCAGAGACATAGAGAGATACAGAGAGAGAGAGAGAGAGAGAAAGAGAGACATAGAGAGAGAGAGAGAGACATAGATACAGAGAGAGAGAGAGACATAGAGAGAGAGACAGACAGACATAGATACAGATAGAGACAGACAGAGAGAGAGAGACATAGAGAGATACAGAGAGAGAGCGAGAGAGACATACAGAGAGAGAGATACAGAGAGAGAGAGAGAGAGAGAGACATAGATACAGAGAGAGAGAGAGAGAGAGAGACATAGATATATATATATATAGAGAGAGAGAGAGAGAGAGACATAGAGAGATACAGAGAGAGAGGGAGAGGGGGGGAGAGAGGGAGGGGAGAGAGAGAGATGTCAAAAGGATTTTGTGGTTCCCGATGTTTTTTTAACAACTGGTTCTCTGCCCTAATGACCAGCTGGGTAGGTGTGGCTAGGGGAAGGTCATGTGACTGGTGGAAGTGAGTGACGTCGAGTTGGCCACGCCCACCCAGGTTTTGTGGCTCCCGGGTGTTTTCTTTTCTGTGGGAAACGGGTCCAAATGGCTCTTTTGAGTATTTCAGGCTGTAGACCCCTGGACTTGAAGACCTTCGAGGCCATCTTGACTTTCACACTTACAACTGTTGCAACATCCCCACGGTCACGGGATCAAAATTCGCACACCTCTCAACTGACTCGTATTTTATGACGGTCGCAGCGTCCCGGGGTCGTGTGATCCGTTTTGCGACCTTCTGACCAGCAAAGGCAATGGGGAGGCCCAGATTCACTTAGTATTACTAAGTCAACAACTGCAGTGATGCACTTAACAACTCTGGCATTTTTCTAATCAATGACATTTTCTAATCAATTGCACTTTGTAGTCAATGACATTTTTCTAATCAATTACGCTGTATAGTCAATGATATTTTTCTAATCACATTTTCTAGTCAGTGACATTTTTCTAATCAATTACATTTTCTAGTCAGTGACATTTTTCTAATCAATTACATTTCTAGTCAATGACATGTTTCTAATCAATTACGCTTTCTAGTCAATCACATTTTCTAATCAATTACATTTCTAGTCAGTGACATTTTTCTAATCAATTGCACTTTCTAGTCAATGACATTTTTCTAATCAATTACGCTTTCTAGTCAATGACATTTTCCTAATCAATTACATTTCTAGTCAGTGACATTTTTCTAATCAATTACATTTCTAGTCAATGACATGTTTCTAATCAATTACGCTTTCTAGTCAATGACATTTTCCTAATCAATTACATTTCTAGTCAGTGACATTTTTCTAATCAATTACGTTTTCTAGTCAATGACATTTTTCTAATCAATTACGCTTTCTAGTCAATGATATTTTTCTAATCAATTACATTTCTAGTCAATGACATTTTTCTAATCAATTACGCTTTCTAGTCAATGACATTTTCCTAATCAATTACATTTCTAGTCAATGACATTTTTCTAATCAATTGCACTTTCTAGTCAATGACATTTTTCTAATCAATTGCACTTTCTAGTCAATGACATTTTTCTAATCAATTACATTTCTAGTCAGTGACATTTTTCTAATCAATTACATTTCTAGTCAGTGACATTTTTCTAATCAATTGCACTTTGTAATCAATGACATTTTTCTAATCAATTACGCTTTCTAGTCAATGACATTTTTCTAATCAATTACATTTCTAGTCAGTGACATTTTTCTAATCAATTGCACTTTCTAGTCAATGACATTTTTCTAATCAATTACGTTTTCTAGTCAATGACATTTTTCTAATCAATTACGCTTTCTAGTCAATGATATTTTTCTAATCAATTACATTTCTAGTCAATGACATTTTTCTAATCAATTGCACTTTCTAGTCAATGACATTTTTCTAATCAATTACGTTTTCTAGTCAATGACATTTTTCTAATCAATTACATTTCTAGTCAGTGGACATTTTTCTAATCAATTGCACTTTGTAGTCAATGACATTTTTCTAATCAATTACGCTTTCTAGTCAGTGACATTTTTCTAATCAATTACGCTTTCTAGTCAGTGACAATTTTTCTAGCCGATGTGTGCTGTTCCGAGTTTTCTGCTCCTGCTATGGGAGGAAAGAACTGATTTCCCTGAGGACTAGAAACTTGGCATTCTTTTTGAAAGCCAGCCAGGGTTCCCAGCGTAGCGAGAAAGTGACCAGCTAACCAAGGCAGCGCACGGCCAGAATATGATACAATCTGGGTGTCACTTCCATCCTATCACTCCTGTTCTCCTACAGCCTGTGCCACATTTTTTTTCCCCTCTTAAACGAGTTAAGATAAACCAACATTCGTAGTGTATCTCGGCCTGTCTTTGGAAGTGTGGTTGTTTTTTTTTAAATCCGCGTTAATTCAGGGTTTTTACAGGACATGCAGGTTAAATGGTGGAGGAGAAGGGGGATTCTGGAGAGCGAGGGGCATGGGGGAGGGGGAAGGAAGACCCCCTACCTTGGGGGAAGGGGGGGACAGACCCACCTTGGCCCAGCAGCCCCTCCTCGCCCACCAAACGGGGACACACACTTCAAGCGCACACTGGCCTGGTTCTCTAAGCCAGAAAGCATTGTGAGGTCATTGCGCATTCCTGTGACCTCAGACCCTCTAAGAGAATGGCAAGAGTTGGAAGGGTCCTCGGAGGTCTTCTAGTCCAACCCCCTACTCAAGCAGAAGACACTACGCCCATTCCATTCCATTCTGGACCAATCCAATCTCTTTGGAAAAACCTCCAGTGTTGACGAGCCCCCCACAACTTGGGGGGCCCCCAAGAGCCTTGGTAGTACAGTGGTCTAAGGCACCCTGTTATTAAGCTGCCTGCAATTACTGCAGGTTCGAATCTCGCCAAGGCTCAAGGTTGACTCAGCCTTCCATCCTTTCTAAGGTAGGTAAATTGAGGACCCGGTTGTGGGGGCAATAAGCTGACTTTGTATAAATATACAAAAGGATGAAGGCTATTGCTTAACGCATTGTAAGCCGCCCTGAGTCTCCGGAGAAGGGCGGCATATAAATCAAATTAAAAAAAAAAAAACAACTTCTGGTGGCAAGCTGTTCCACAGGCTAATTGTTCTCCCTAGCGGGAGATTTCTAACCTTCGTGGTTAGGTTGCTTTCTCTCCTTGGTCAGCTGTTGACGGGGGGGGGTCCCACCTTGCCGACAGCCAGCTAGTAGTCCGAGACCCCCCAGGGTTGCCGCCCCCCCCAGGGTGGCTCTCGGCAGCTGGCACCCCCCCCAGGGGGTGATAATCCCCCCCCACTTGCATGATGCTCAGCCTCCCCCCCTTTCTAGAACCGAACCTCGACAGCACGCGGAGAGGCCCTGCTCTGCAGGTGCCCCCCCTGGCATGGTCCATGGGGCAGACCCCACACGGGGGATGCATTCACACGGGCACAACCGAAGCTTCTGGGCAAGACCACTATCAGCCACCCTCGTGTTTGTGTCTGTGTGTCAATTTGTGCGTAATCCCTCGCTCACTACCCTGGGGAAATCCAAATTTACTACGGGTTCTGGGGGTGGACTTTGGTGGGTGGGCATGGGGAAGGGTACTGCAAAATCTCCATTCCCACCACACTCCTCCTCTCCCCCCCCTTTCTTTTTTCCACTCTTCCTTCTCCCTCTTCTCCTCCCTCTGTCCTTCCACTTCTCTCCTTCTCTTCTTCTTCCTCTCTTCCTGCTCTTCTCCTTCCCCTCCTCTCACCCCCTGCCCTCCCAAACTCCCCCACTCCTCCCCACCCCTATTCTTCCTCTTCCTCTCTTCCCCTTCCCCCTCTCTCCCCCTTTCCCCCCCCGTATCCTCCCCCCATTTTTTTCCATCCTCCTCTTCTCCCACTCCATCTCTTTGCTCCCTCCTCCTCGCTCCTCCTCCCCTCTCCTCTTCCTCTCCTCTCTTCATCCTCTTCCCCCTCTTCGTCTCCTCCCCTTTCTTCCTCCTCCTCTGTCTTCCTGCTCTCCCCACTCTTTGCCCCCCCCTCTTCTTCCTCTTTCTCTTCTCTTTTCCTCTTCTCCCTCTCCCTCCTCCTCCTCTTTTCCCCTCCCCCTCTTCCTCCCCCTTTTTCTCCTCCTCCGGTCTTCGCTGCTCTTCAGCACTCTTTGCCCCTCTCCTCTTCCTTTCCGTCTCTGTTCCCCCTCCTCCTCTCCTTCCTCCTCCTCTTCCCCCTCACTCCTCTTGGTCCCTTCCTTCCCTTCCCTGTCTTCCACCTTCTTTCTTCTCCTCTTCCTCCCCCTCTTCTTCCTCCCCTTCCCTCTTTTCCTCCTCCTTCTCTCCTTCCTCCTCCTCTTCCCTCCCTGCTCCTCTCCCTCACTATTCCTCTTTGTCCTCTTCCTCCCCTTCCCTGTCTTCCTCCTCCTTCTCTCCTTTCTCCTTCTTGTCCTCCCAGTCTTCCCACTCCTTTGCTCCCTCCTCCTCTTCCCCCCTCCTCTCCCTCCTCTTCCTCTTTATCCCTCCCTCCTCCTCCCCGTCTTCCTCCTCCTTCTCTCCTTTCTCCTTCTTGTCCTCCCAGTCCTTGCTCCCTCCTCTTCCCCCTCCCTTCCCCCTCCTCTTCCTCCTCTTCCCCCGTCCTCTTCCTCTTCCTCTTTGTCCTCTTCCTCTGTTCCCCTCCTCCTCTCCTTCCTCCTCCTCTTCCCTCCCCTCCCTCCTCTCCCTCCTCTTCCTCTTTGTCCCCTCCCTCCTCTCCTCCTCCTCCTCCTCTCTTTTGTCCCTTCCTCCTTTCCTCCCCCCCCCCCCGTCTTCCTCCTCTTCCCCATCCGCCGTGCACGAGCCGAGGCGCGTGCCCCCGGCGGTGGCCGGGTAGGGGGGGCTTTTTTGGGGGGGAATGCGGTGTGCGCGTGCGCGTGGGGTGGTTTTCCCCCCCTGGCTGGGCCGGGGGAGGGGGGGGTCGTCCGGGGGGGATGACGTCAGAGGGGGCGGTGGCGGCGGCGGCGAGACGGGGCGGGGGAGCTTCGCCCGTGCCAGGCAGGCAGGCAGGCAGGAGGACGGACGGACGGGCGGGCAGCAGCGGCGGCGGCGGCGGCGGAGGCATCAGCATGCCCGGCGGGGCGAGCGCCTCCATCTTGCGCTGCCCCCGGACGGAGGCAGCCAGGTGAGCCAGGAAGAACCCACCCCCCCCCAAAAAAAGACCCCCCACACATTCTTCCCCCCTCGCCAGCTGCGCAGTTGCCCGCAGGCGCCGCCAACTTCCCCCGGGCATGGGGGGGAGGGGAGGGGGGGCGAGGGGGCGGGGCTGCTGGGGGGGAGGGGGGAGGGGGGAGGGGAGCAGCTGCGGCTCTTCCTTCCGCCCCTTCGGCCCCTTGAAGAAGCGCCGCGGCCGGTGTGTCTGGCGGGAGAAGGGAAGGTGGTGGGGAGGGGGGGGGGAGGGAGTGGGTTGTGGAGCCCTTTGTGTTTTGAGGCCCAAATTTAGGGGGGGGAGAGAGAGGGGAGGGAGGGGGGCTCTTCCTCCTTCCAAGCCTCTTCTCAAGGAAGGAGAGAAGGAACGGAGAGACCTTCTTTCCAGGGAAGGGCAAAGAGAAGGAAGGAGGCTTTTTCCTTCCTCTCGGGAGGGTTCGGGGGTTTCCTTTCCCTTCTTTTCTTCTCTCTTTCAGGAAGGTAAGGGACGGGAAAGGAGGGAAGGAAGTAGGGGAAGGAGAGGTCAACTTTCCTTCCTCCTTCGAGGGGAAGGAAGGGAAGGGAAAGAGAAGGAAGGAAGGCGTTCCTTCCACGAGGGCTTCTTTCGGAGGGAAGGCAGGATTTTAAGGCTTTCTTTCAAGGAAGGTTTTTCCTTCCCTTTCCTCGGAAGGACGGGAGATGGGAGGGAGAGGGGCAAGGAAGCGAAGGGAGGGGAAAGAACTTTCTTCTCTTTTCCTTAGTAGGGCGGAAAGGGAAAGGAAGGCCCTTCCTTCAAAGGGAAGGGAGGACGGAAGTCTTCCTTCCTTCTTTCGGGCAAGGAAGAGGGGGAAGGAAGTCCTTCTACCCCTTTTCCTTACCTAGGAAGGAGAGATCTCTCTCTCTCTCTTTCTCCTTCTTCCTTCTTTCGATGGCAAGGAAAGGAAAGAAAGATCCCTTCCGGGACCTTCCTAGTAGGGTTCCTCCTTTTCTCCTTTCCTAAAGGGGATTCCAGGAAGTAGGAGGAATCTCTCTCTTTCTGGAAGGACCCGGCCGAAGGGCCTTCGGGGGAAGGAAGGGCGGAGGAAAAGGAGGGAACTTCCCCTCTTTCCTTCTCTCTCTTTCCTTTCTGCTCCTCCTCTTCTTTTTCCTTCCCCCTCTTTCACTTCCTACTTTCCTTCCTCTCTTTCCTTCCTTCCTTCCTCCTTTCCTCCTTTCCTTCTCTCTTTTCCTTCCTGCCTTTCCTTTCCCTCTCCTTCCTTCGTTCCTTCCTACTATCCTTTCCTTCCTTCTTCCTTCCCTTCCTTTTTCTTTCCTTCTACTACTTCCTTCTCTTCCCCCTTTCCTTCCTTTCTAGTTTCCTTTCCCCTCTTTCCTTCTCTCTTTCCCTTCCTTCCCTTTCTTTCCTTCCTTCCCTTTCCCTTCCTTCCTTCTAAATTTCCTTCTCTCTTTCCTTCCTGCCTTTCCTTTCCTTTCCCTCTCCTTCCTTGTTTCCTTCCTCCTATCCTTTCCTTCCTTCCTTCTTCCTTTCCTTCCTACTTCTTTCTCTTCCCCCTTTCCTTCCTTTCTACTTTCCTTCCCTCTGTTTCCTTCCTTCCTTCTTCCTTCCCTTTCCTTCCCCTCTTTCCTTCTCTCTCTCTTTCCCTTCCTTCCCTTTTCTTTCTTTCCTTCCTACCCTTTCCCTTCCTTCCTTTCTAATTTTCCTTCTCTCTTTCACTTTCCCTTCCTTCCTTCCTTCCCTCCCTCCCAAACAACCCCAAGTTAAACCCTCCCCTGTGCGTGTGCATGCGTCTCATCTTCTAAAAATCATAACTGCCCCCCCCACAAAAAAACCTCCAGTACCACCACCCCCTCCCCATCCCACAGAATGATCCCAGGTGCCTCCTGGCCCACCCGGCAACCTCTCCGCTTGCCCGACTCACGATGCAAGAGCCTTCGCCCTTGCTCTCCCTCCCTCCCTGCGATGCCCTCTTCCCCTGCCTCGGATGGATAGCAATTTAGGCAAGCACGACACCATCACCAGGTGAGGACGGGGAAGGGGGGGGGGCTTTCCTGCTGTGCCCGTGGGTACGGGAGTCCCCCCCCCTCCCATTCCGCCCGGCCTCGGTCCTCCGAACTGCTCTGTGCCAAGGAAGACAATTCGGAGGGGGGGGCAGTGCCAGCGTTTCCCACAGGTGGTGGTCCCAGGAAGCCCCTTGAATGTGGCAGAAGACCCTCCCCCACGTGCATCTGTCCCACCCCTCCCTCCCTCCCTCCGCTGACCACTTCTGCAGTTTTGCTTCCTTTCCAGGCCCTGTTTGGTCATCCAGTTGAGCCGGCCTCGGGCAAGGAACCAAAAATGGCTTGAGTGTTTGTTTGTTTATTTTTATTTTTTTTTGCAACCAAATACAAACCAGGTTTTGGGAGGAAACCGGTTTCGAAACCTCCCAGTTTCCAAACCTGGAAGCTTTCGGGCCACACACACAAACACACACACACACACACAATGGCTGGATGTGGGGATAGATTTCCTCCCCCCCACACACACACACACTCCGGCCCGGCCATCTTTTCCAGCCCGACCGTAACCCCGCAGTGCCCGTTCACTGCAACCGGGCCGTTCCTTCTCTTCCTCCTCCTCCTCCTCCTCCTCCTCCTCTTTCCTTCCTTCTCCGCATTTTGCAACTCCCTTCGGCTGCTTCCAATTTTGCTGCGTTGCTCCAAATTTTCCTCCTGGAGAAAAACGCACGGAAAGGGGAGGCCGGAGGGGAAGGGGAGGGGATCTCTCCCCCCCCCCCAGAAAAAAAAAATATATTCGATAGCCACACCTCCTCTCTCGCTAATTTTTTTTTTTTTTTTTTTCTTTTCCCCCTGCATTTTCTGGCACTTTTGCATCTCCGCTCTTTGGCAGCCACGATGTGCATAACAACATCACTCTACCGGGCCTTAATTTGTTTTTTTTTTCCCCCCAGTCTTCCAAAATTCCTTTTTCTTCCTTTTCTTCTCCTTTTTCTTTTTTTTACTTTCTTTTTCTTTTCTTTTGCTCCTTTCTTCCCTTCCCTGCTCTTCCTTGCTATTTTTCCGCACCTTCCTTTCTTCCCTTCCTTCCCTTTTCTTTCCTTCTTTCCTTCCTTCCTTCCCTTTTCTTTCCTTCCCTCTCTCTTTCTTCCTTCCCTTCCATTACTTTCTTCTCTCTCTTCCTTCCTTCCTTCTTTCCTTCTCTCTTTCCTTCCTGCCTTTCCTTTCTTCTCTTTCCTTCTTTCCTTCCTACTTCTTTCTCTCTTTTCCCTTCCTTCCATCTTTCCTTCCTACTTTCCTTCTCTCTTCCTTCCTTCCTTCTTTTCCTTCCTACTTTCCTTCTCTCTTTCCCTTCCTTCTTTCCTTCCTACTTGCCTTCTCTCTCTTCCTTCTTTCCTTCTTTCCTTCTTCTTTCCTTCTCTCTCCTTCCCTTCCTCCTTGCCTACTCTCTCTTCCTTCCTTCCTTCTTTCTTTCCCTTCCTGCCTTTTCCTTGCCTCTCCTTCCTTCTTTCCTTCCTACTTTCCTTCTCTCTCTTTCCCTTCCTTCCTACTTTCCTTCTCTCTCTTTCCTTTCCTTCCTACTTTCCTTCTCTCTCTTTCCCCTCCTTCCTTCTTTCCTTCCTCCTTTCCTTCTCTCCCTCCCTCCCTTCCCTCTTTCCTTCTCTCTTTCCCTTCCTGCCTTTCCTTTCCCTCTCCTTCCTTCTTTCCTTCTACTTTCCTTCCCTCTCTTTCCCTTCCTTCCTTCCTTGTGCTTACACAAACATCCACGCACACCATCGCTGGAGGGCCCCTTGCAAATGCAGGACTGGAGTGTTTGTGTGTGTGGGTGTGTTTCGGTGTGGACATGGCGAGCCACAACACACAACCTTGTCACGGATGCTAAAGCTGTTGTTTTCCTCTTCTTGGCACGCGTGTTTCCGTTGTCTCTAAACATAAACATGGCTGGCGGGGAAGGGAGAAACGTGTCCGGTTGCGTAACTTGGAGGCAGGTGTGAGTAAAGGTAACCCTCGACTTACAAAACCACAACTGAGCACAATTGAGCCTGCAAAAGTCGCAGCTGGGAAAAACGGCCGTAAGCCCCTCTTTTCTCAGCCCCGTTGTAACTTTGAACGGTCCCTAAAACGAACGGTTGTAAGACAGGGATTGCCTGACTTACAACCACAACTGAGCGCAACATTTCTGTCGTTAAGCGAGACATTTGTTTTAGGAGAGTTTTGCCCCGTTCTAACTCCTTTCTTCCCACCGTTGTTAAGTGAATCTGATTCCCCCCTCCCCCCTCATTTGACTTGGCTTATAAAAAGGTCACAAAAGGGGATCGTGTGACCCCGGGATAAGGCAACCGTCGTAAGTACGAATCGGTTGCCAAGCCTCTGAATTTTGATCGGCAAAGGTCGTAACTCTGAAAAACGGTTGTAAGTTCCTTTTTTCAGCGCTGTTGTAACTTCAAGCGGTCACTAAATGAACCGTTGTAAGTCGAGGACTGCCTGTTTGGGCAATCCTCACAACTAAGCTGAGCCCAACATTTCCGCTGTTAAAGTGAGACATTGGTTCAGTGAGTTTCGCCTCGTTTTACGGCCTTCGTTGTCACCGTTGTTAAGTGAATCACCACGGTTTTTAAGTTAGCAACACGGTTTGTTGTTAAGTGTTGTTAAGTGAAACCAATAATATCTTAACCAATTGTTTATTTATTTATTTTATTTATTTATTTTGTCACATTTCTATGCCGCCCAACTCCCAAGGGACTCTTAAAATATTAACTCAGTTGTTAAGTGAATCTTGCTTCTCCGTCAACTTTGCTCGTCACAAGGTCGCAAAAAAATGTGACCGTCATAAATACGAGTCGGATGCCAAGCCTCCGAATTTTGATGACCCTGACCACGGGGACGCTACGACGGTCGTAAGGGGTGAAAAATGGTCCTAAGTCATATTTTTTTTCCCCCAGCGCCGTCGTAACTTCGAACGGTCGCTAAACGAACCGACATAAGTCGAGGGTTACCTGTACA